CAAGGTTGGGTTGGACAGGGCTCTGAGCAACCTGATCTAGTGAAGATGTCCCTGCCCACGGTGGGGAGTTGGACTGGATGGTCTGTGAAGGTTGCTTCCAACCCAAACCCTTCTGTGACTTTGTGGTGGAGAAACCGGAGACCAAGCCTGCCTGGTCCTCCCTCTGCCTTTGCGGTGGGTGGCAAGATACAGGGCAGTAAGGGGTGTCTGTGGGCTTTGGAAGCCCCACACAGGGCAACTCTTCTTGCATCCCCAGCCCCAGGATGAGTCTGACTTGGTCCTTCAAGCAAGGACTCACCTCCCCCTATAATCCCCCCTGCCACACTTGCAGCAGCCCCAGGACTAGCGGTTACCTCCTGCCTCGGACATGTGGAGAATGCTTCCTTTCAAACAGCCCTTGTGTGATGCTGAGGAAGCCCACCCAGCCCCAGGCAGTCCCTGTGTTCCTGGGAGAATCCATGGGGAGCAGCAAGTGATGCCCATCTCCCTCCTTGCCTGCCCGGGCTTGGGAGAAAAACAAACCAAGCTGAGCAACACAGAGGGCAGGAGCCAGTTTACGGTTGCAGAGGAGGAGGTAAAAAGGAAAGTGGTGTGCTAGGGAGGCAGGACTCCCCCCAGCATTTATAGATCCTGAACCATAAGCCATAGCTCCAAGTAGCTTGGGTTGTATGCTCCATCTCCAGCCTGGATTGCTCCCACCATGTGCTGGAAAACAGGGCAAGGAACTCAGTGCATGTTTCCCCTCTCTGAAGACTGCAATGTCCCTGCACGAACAGGGTAGATGGGAGCACGTCTGGGCTTTAAAGCTCTCAAAGACATAAGATAAGCAAAAAGCCATGAAATTAAACTGAGCTGTTGGAAATGAAGGAAGCAAATGCTGCAGCCACGTGTGCACACTCAGTGAGCGCAGCCCCCTCAAGGAATCATACCTTGCTGACCCCTTGCCCCACTGTTTTGCAGCACATCCCGATGCCGGTGCTGTATGGGGTCTTTCTGCACATGGGGGTGGCAGCACTGAACAGCATCCAGGTGAGCGGGGACTGGGCCGGGGATGCTGGTAGGGGCTGTTTTGGGGATGACGGGGTTTGCTTGGTACCAGCCCTCACTACACAGCAGAGCCTGGATTTTAGCTCTGTGTGATGTGCAGCTTGGCATGGGTCTGTCCCCCGCCAGGCCCAGGACAAGGAGGGACAGAGGGACCTTTCTGGGGCAGAGGAAATGGAAAGGGAGGTGTCTGGGATGCTGAGGAGCATGAGCAGCTTCTACACTGATGGATCAGGTGGTTTGGGAGAAGTGGAGGGACCAGTGGATAACCCAGACTGGCTCTCAAAGCTGCAGGGACATCCCTACCTGGGAGCTGCAGGCAGAGCTGGGACCTGCTGATCCTTTGGTCCTGTCATTGCCACTGATGTGCCAGCTCTGTTTCTTTCCTGAGAAGCCCACAGAGGGGAAAAAAAATCCCCACTCTAGAAATATCTACCCATTTTTTCCTCTAAACAGTATATTTTCCTTGCAATTACCCTGCTCTGGATGACAGGCTGGGAAACCCCCTCCCTCCTTCCCTCTGCTTGGGGAATCAGGGGTTGTGGTCTGGAAAAGGCAGCAGCAGTCTCCTGCATGCAGGGAGGGGAATCAAGGGGTTGTTATCTCTCAACCATTTAAGAACAGCTTGAGTCCTTTCTAGATGTCTACCTGGAAAGCACTCCCCTGGCCTGGGGTGATAGCGGTACCAGGACCCCTGGTGGTACCAGGACTGCTGGTCTTGCAGACAAACTCACCTGCCCAGGCATCACCCTGGCGGCCAGTGCAGACAGCAGGAGGGCTAAACTGCAAAAACAATAGCGAAAACCCATCCTGCCAGCCCTTGTCCCAATAGGGAGGTGGGTAAGAGCTGCCTGAAAGCTGGTGTGTGACCCACAGGCTGTCCTCTCGCTACAGCTCACAGACCGCGTGCGGCTGCTCCTGATGCCAGCCAAGCACCAGCCAGACCTCGCCTACCTCCGCCACGTGCCCCTGCGCCGGGTGCACCTCTTCACCATCATCCAGCTGCTGTGCCTAGCCTTGCTCTGGGTCCTCAAGTCCACCATGGCCGCTATTATTTTCCCAGTGATGGTATGACATCCATTTTAATCGGGCAGCACTGCTTTGGTGCCGGACTGGGTGCTACACCATACATGCCCTGAGCATCGCTGGAGCCCTGGCGCTCACCTTGGGCTAGGGACACAGGTGCTGCCCTGGGTGGGGGTGCACCCCATGGCAGGTGGTGTATGTGAGTCCTCAGACCCCCAAGGGCCTACACGGTCCCTGCAGGGCCACAACATGGCTTTGCCACCAGCCTTTACCTCCTGGGTTGGGGATGGTGAGGCTGTCACTGCTTTGCGGATGTTGTGCAAGTATCATCCCTTGGGACCAAGCGAGGAGAGGTCATGTGCCACCTCCCTGGCATTTACGAGGGGGACAGAGGGGGCCTGACAGGGAGCCCCTAGCCCCTAGCCCCAAGCACTGTGTGATGCTGATCTGTGCTTCACCCTGGCCCCAGCTGCTGGCGCTGGTTGGAATCCGGAAGGGGCTGGAGCGTGTCTTCTCTCTGCATGACCTGAGCTGGCTGGATGGCCTCCTGCCAGAAATGGCCAGGAAGGAGGCAGAGGGGAAACAGCCCAGGAAGCAGAAGGAGGAAAGCAATGGCGAGGAGGTAGGTGACGTCATGGGCGCTATGCTCTTTTACAGCTGTCCCCAGGGATGCTTTGGTGCCGGGGCTGAGCCTGGCCTGAGCTAAGGCTAAGCTGGGCTGGGACTGAGCTGCTTGGTGAGGCTGTAGCTGGTGGCGTGGTAGGAGCAAGGGCTAGGAGCGCTGCCAGTCTCGTCCCCCTCTTACTTCTCCCTCCAGTCTGAACTGATGCATCGCCAAGGACCAGAGATCAACGTCTCCGTGAACTAGGATCACAGCCGGGATGCAGGGCAAAGCGAGAGGCAGAGGAGGCCAGGGCTGGGGCACAGCCTGTCCGCTCCTGTCCAGCTCCACATACGTGGGACTGGCGGAAGGCAGGCACCATGGAACCTCAGTGTGGTCTGGAAGGGACCTTCACAGAGCAGCCAGGCCAAGCCCCACCATGGGCAGAGAGATCTCCCACTAGGTCGGGTTGCTCAAGGCCCCGTCCAGCCTGGCCTTGAACAGCCCC